ACTCACAGCACTTCTGCCAACAAGAGGCTTGGCGGCCATCCAAATCCAACCAGCTGTCCTTCGGATCAAATCTTGACATGAGATGGTCTTCGTCAGCCTCCTCTTCTTGAGTGAGGGCATAGGAGTACACATCTTCAAGCTCCGACTCATCTGTGATTTCTCGGCTCGCTGCGTACAGAGGACAGATAAGACCAGTGTTTCTGGGAGGCCCCAGAAGCAATGCGTGCTTCACGCTGGAGGACTGCCAGTCCCAGCGATATTCTTGGACCATGTGGCGAGCAGGTTCCACAAGCCCATCTTTGTTGAAGATCATTCCGCCGCCCTTATGAATGCCGAGAATGACCACGCCAGCCCCACCTAACTGCTCAACCATATCTTCCAGGTCAGTTCCCTCTGCCTCGGGCGCCACAATGTGTGGAAAAATGCCCCAGCCCTTGAAGGGTATGACGGTGTTCTGTGCGCCTGAACAGTACCAGCTCTTCTCTCCCAAGAGGGACATTGCTTGTCCCATCGCGAGGACGACAGCACCTCTTGTGAAAAGGGCGGAAATGTTGACCATCCAATGGAGGCAAACGTCGCCTCTTGCAAAGGCTTATGCTTACGCAATCCCCAACCCTGCTCCTGAAACCCAAATGAAGCCACATAATTTGGGGAGCGCCTTGCAAGTATCGCCACTTGACGTGCTCAGCCACCTCACTGGCTCCTAGGTCCGTACCAAGCGTCTCCCAGAGTCGACGCCTGTCCCCGCCATCCACCAAAATGAGATCAGACTGCTCCAGGTGCGCCAGCTCGAACCCTTAGTTCCTACAACCTTGAAAACACAAACCGGTTATGTGCAGCGGTGCCCTTTCATGTGAACAGATGCAGGGATGTTGGTCGTGACCTTCAGTGTTCCGGACGCATTGCTGCCGGAACGCTATTTGGAGGATGGTGGATGTGCCGGCACAGCACAACCCCTATCTCTGCCATGGCCTGCTTGAACAGCTCATATCCATCGGTGGCAGACTCGGCCGCAAAGCCTCGTGCCCAAACACCGAATCAATAGGGAAGGCTCGTTGCTCTTACCTCTTGCCACCACCCTCCGTGCCTATGTAGCTTGCCCTGACTGGCAACTCGCCAGCAAGCCTTCCGACTCGGCGTGGTAGTTCACACTTCACCCGATGAATCCATGGAAGTTTCACATCTGGATCCTCGCAGCAGGTCAACTCTGTGCTTGCAAAACCAATAATACATCTATCCATCTATCCTGTAACCTGTCCAGGCTCTATCACGCCACTTGCAGCCACAACGGTAGTTGGCTCGTCGCAGCACTGCGCCCATACAAGCGTGCAACCGTACGTCACATATCATATGCAGTCACCAGCATCGTCACCATCAATGTTCGTCAAAGTGGTTAAGTTGTTTATTATTGTTCATGTGGTCGCTCGCTAATCTGTTGGTGATTGCTCGCTGCGTGATCGCTACGACATCTATACTAGCGCTGGGCTCCTGGTGGAAAAGCAACGAGAAGTCCGCGAGAAAGATCTGCGGGGCCGCCGGCAACTCTTCCTTCCGCTCCTGGTGCCGAAGGATCCCTACTCCTAGAGGGCCCTTGCTGGCTGACAGTCAGCGTAGCAGCAGAAGAGGAACAAGAAGCAGCAGTAGCGATAGCGGTAGCAATAGCAGCAGCAATAATAGTAGTCGTAGTATGAGTCGTCATAGAAACAGTAGGAGTAGTTGTAGCAGTAGCAATTACAGCAGCAGCAGTAGCAGCAGGAGTAGCAGTAGCAGTAGCAGTAGCAGTAGCAGTAGCAGTAGCAGTAGCAGTAGCAGTAGCAGTAGTAGTAGTAGTAGTAGTAGTAGTAATAGTAATAGTAATCATAATACTAATACTAAAAGTAGTGGTACGTACGTATCATTTACGTATGTGACGGTGTGGTTTTCTCCACTTCACCTTGTTGAGACTGGGTTTCGTGCGATTCTTGAGGCAAGTCTTCCTCGCACTCTTCCGCTTGATCAATTAATTCAAGGTTCGCCCCATCAGTCCAAGGGTTTGAGGAGTTCTGACTTGAATATGGTCACGCCGGCATTCCAAGGTTCACCACATCAATCGGGCGTTCTAGGTTTGAGGAGTGCACGAGCTTCGAAATGTTTTGAAGTTTGCGACTTTCGCAATGTTTTTTCGAGGTACTCCAAGTTTGCGCGGTGTCGAGGTTTTCCAGAGTGCCGTCTGCGCGGTGTGCGAGGTTAAAATGCCGAGAATAGTGCCGAAAATACGAGGCCAATTGCAAAGTACTGAACCCAGAAATAGCTACATATCATAATACTTGAGGCCTTCGCCTGCTACGAAAATCATACCGTCACGAATGCGAGCGGCGTCGCCGTCGTGGTGGTGGTGGTGGTGGTGGTGGTGGTGGTGGTCGTAGTAGTAGTAGTAGTAGTAGTAGTAGTAGTAGTAGTAGTAGTAGTAGTAGCAATAGTAATAGTAATAGGTACCCGGCAAGGAAGCCCAAGAAGCAGATAGCTGGGTAACACAGGCC